GCCTGCAGTGCTGCATTTAACCACTGCGCCACCTCGGTTCTTCTAAATGAACTTACTGGATGAAGACATCTATTGGCTGGAATGAGCTGTTATCAGTATATTGAGGATACTCAGCTAAGTTAATTATATACTGTAACTCTAGGCTTAGTTGGACATACCATAGAAAGCATAAACTGGTACCTAGAGGCTGTTGGTCTGTTCAGGCTCTGGATCAGGCAATGTAAACTCAGATTCATGCAACTTGTCCTGAATGCAGCAGTAAGGCTGCCATAGCAGAGTAATACCATTCCTGAAGTCACAGCACTGGCAACTAACCAACATCTAGGATCAATTCAAAGGGCTTACTACAGAGAAGAGGTTGTGCTGCCTAGGAGTGGGGAAAAAATAACCCTTTCTCCTCATTATTTCCACTTTTCCACTTGGAAGAGACATGAGAGAGAGAGAGAGAGAGAGGGAGGGAGGGAGAGGAGAAAAGCTATAGAAATGTTTCCTTTGGTCCAGTGGTGGGTTGCAGGCGGTACGCCCCACTACAGGCATACCGGAGCCTGCCAGAAGCACCGGGTACCATTCCGGTACGGTGCTCCGGAGGGCCCACCTGCCCACCCATGCTCCTTACCTGTCTTTAAAGTCTTTGGTGCTCCCGCACACGCGCATGGAATGTACAGCACCTGCGCAATGCTCCGCCAAGCAGCTGGAGCATCGTGGAGGCTTGCGGAGGCATCGCTGGAAGGCGCATGCACATGCTGCATGCATGTGCACATGCACCGCATGCATTCATGTGGAGGAGGACGGGCCCCGTTGCAACCATACTGGTTGCAATAGGATCTGGAACCCATCGCTCCTTTGGTCAGTGGGTCTTCTGCAGCCAAGAACTGGCACCTAAGGAGCCAGGAGTATGGGGGAAGAGAAATAAAAATTTTAATCACTTAAAAATTCAGAAATGGAAAGGGTGGGTCTGGCAAGAGTTTGGTGCAAGAGCTGAGGTGGCGCAGTGGTTAGGGTGCAGTACTGCAGGCCACTTCAGCTGACTGTTATCTGCAGTTCAGCGGTTCTAATCTCACCCGCTCAAGGTTGANGGTTACTTCTGGGTCCACTGGTCAAACCTCCTCTCACCGGATCAGTAAATTTCACCATCCGGTTGTCCTGATCCAGTGCGAACCAGCAGAAACCCATCACTGCATGCAGCCCATCTTATGTGACTGTCTTTTATTAAAAAAAAAAAAAAAAGGCCTGAATCATAGAATCATAGGGCTGGAAGGGACTTCCCACGGGATACCTTGTATAAACATAGACAAATGGTTGTCCAATGTTTTCTTGAAAACCTCCAGCGATGGTGCACCCACAACTCCGGGAGGCAAGCTGTTCCATTGGTTAATTGTTCTCACTGTGAAGAAGTTTCTCCTTAGTTCTAGATTGGATTTCTTTTTAGTAAGTTCAAGTTGGGATCTCTTTTTAATGACATTCCACCCATTGCTTCTTGTCCTACCCTCAGGAGCTTTGAGAATAAGTTGATCCCCACCTCTCTATAGCAGCTCCTCATATATCAAAGACAGCTATCATGCCACCCTAATTTTTCTCTTCATTAGGCTAGATATACCCAGTTCCCTTAACTATTCCTCGTACAATTTATCTTGCAGACCCCTTATCATGTTAGTTGCTTTTCTCTACACTCTTTCTAGGGTACCAGCATCTTTTTTGTATTATGGTGACCAGAACCGGACACAGTATTCCAAGTATGGCCTCACTAGTGCAATATAAAACAGTACTCTAACTTCTCATAATATTGATGCTATTTCTCTGCTGATGTGTTTAGGGACCAAATCTCTTAATTGAAACCATTTCTTCCTTCCTTTTCCAATCCTCTTCCAAGGCACAATAACCCAATCACTATCTTAAGTGCTTTCTTGTATTCTTCCAGTCAATTAAATCAGCTACATCTCTCATCTTAGTGTTTTCAGAAAGTGACAAAAGCATTTCTCTCTCCATTTTCTCCATGCCATGCATGGTTTTATTACACCCGGATCATGTGCATAATGTTCCTTCAGTTAACTTTTCTCAAAGCTAAAATGTCCTAAATGTTCTAGATTTTTCTTATACGGATGTTGCTTGAGACACATAATTACAATTATGCCTTACTCATGGGATTTGCTGTTTTATAGCTGCCAAACATTAAGCTGTCATCTTTGTTGAGCTCTCAACACTACATCTCTGAGATCTTTTTCCTGGTTGGTTGAAGACAACTCAGACACTATCAGTCTATATATGACTTTCTTTTGGTGGTGTGGCGGGGGTGGGGGAATCCCGTTATGCATCACATTAAACTGCATAGAACTGAGGAGAAATTTCCTGACAGAACAATTAATCAGTGGAACAGCTTGCTCCAGAAGTGAGTGCTCCAACACTGGAAGTCTTTAAGATGTTGGATAGCCATTTGTCTGAAATGGTATAGGGTTTCCTGTCTAGGCAGCGGGTTGGACTAGAAGACCTCCAAGGACCCTTCCAACACTGCTATTGTATTGTCAGGAAATTTCTCCTCAGTTCTATGCAGTTTAA